CCTCACAAAGCCTCAAAGGGATGTGACAGTAAATCACCCTTATAGAGGTATAGACAGCAATAAAACCCTTAACCATAGCATACAAAAATAAAGGAAAGTTTTAGCTGGAGTTGGGTTTTAAATACACACTTGAGCTGTTACAATTACAGGCATGTTAGGATTTACTCATGCTGGTCTCTTTAAACTAAGCTTGTTTGTTCCCTCGGCAGTAATAATTTGTTTTTGGAAGTTTATACATCCTGTCTTTTGATAATTTGTTCTGGACAATGAACTTTTGTATGGTGGCTTTTGTCCTGCAATGAACCCATAACATAATTGTGTTTGGGTTATATTAGCAACTGCTATGTTTTTCAGTGGGGGCTGTTCATATTTTTTTAAACATAATATATTTTTTAGTGATAGATTTCCCAAAATAATATTTTGCATATTAATGCTTTAAATGTTTGACATTATGTAACCTTATAGATAAAAGGTACTAGCTGTGTACCATCACCTAAAGGTACTCAAAGTACAGAAAATGTTAACCTTGAGGAGGACAATATATCTGCTCGTTACCTAAATCAGAACATGTAAAAATAAAACCTAAATTGCCCAACTAAAGTAAATATAAAAAAATAGCTTTTGCCATTGACCTATCTAAAGCTGGCACTCTCTGTACTTTCTTTACGCCACTAGATGTAACGATCTACCATCTGTGACCCTAATGATTTGAATGACTGCCAATCTCAAACCACTATCTCGGAGACCAAACGTCATCATGCAGTTTGGGTATATACAGTAGTACTGCGTCTCTGAACTGTGTTAATTTGTGACCTTAATGAACCACCCAGAAGAACCATGAGGGTGAGGGGGAAATAAAACACATGGGTGCAATGTGCCTTTTCGATCATTTCTCTCTAGATGTACTGCTTAAGTAAGTACACCCTTGGCCTCAGAAGCCTCTTTAGCAGAAATTACTTTTTGTAGGTGTTTTGCACAACTGCCCATCAGTCTCTGACATTGACTTGATTAAATCTTTGACCACTTCTCCAAGCAAAATTCCTTTGTAGGTTTCCTTGCATGAACTGCTTTGACTTGGTCAGTCCATAGCGTACTATTTTTTTTTTTCTTTCTGAGCCATTCCTTGGTGGAGTTGCTAGTGTCCTTTGGACTGTTATTGCTTTTAAAGATCCTTTTCTGATTCAACCTTAACTTGATGGCTTCACATTCTTATCAGTACACTTTGATGCAGAATTTACAGCTGCCTTGATGTCTGCAAGCTACCCAGGCCCTGAAGTAGCGACGCAACCCCTGGTCCAATAACATTTCCACCACGATGCTTTACAGTTGGTTCTTCTCTTATAATATGTGCCAAACAATTCTGATAATGTGGCCAAACAGCTCTATATCTGATTCATTGTTCCACAGCATGGCTTGAGGTACTTACACTGCTTGCATTTTGAAAAATGTATTTAATCTATTAAAAGAGAACTAAAGCCTCTTGTGTTACAGTAGTACATTTACCTAATACCTTAGTACAGTGACCTAAACTTAGGGGCTACTGCCCACTATTTGCTGATGGCACAGAGCTGCGTTGTAATCCCAGCAATATTGTTGGGATCCACCCCTCTGCCTGATTGACAGCTGGCTCTGTCCCCCCAATGAGCGCTGAAGGGAGAGATGGGAGGGGGGGATCCCTGCGGGGAGAGGTGACTGACCATCACTTCTCTCTGCAGGGAGACTGTAAGCTGAGTGATCAGCAGCTTGTGATCGATTTTAGCTCTCAATCTATAGAGCCAACGTATCACACACCAGCTCCAAGTATTGGGAAGAGTACATTTTTCTCTCCCCATTCTTCTCCTTTAATGAATATTGAGCTGCATTCGTTTGTGTTTTTTATACCTGGCTGAAGTTCAGTGTTAAGCTAGTCACATCTGGGCCTGTCCTTTAAAGACGGTCCAGAAAATGCACTCGCTAACGCAATCTATTGTCCCTACAGACACACAATCACACACATACTTGCTAGCACCTATCTGGTCAAACACCAGTCACTTACCTTCATATATTTGGGTTGTGACAGGAAAAAGAGACACGGGGAGAGCACACTCCATGCAGAGAGTATCCATTGGTGGGGCATTCTCAGTAAGAAGACAAAATAGTAGTAGAAATCTCTTTATTTACAGGCCACTAATAAAAAGCACAGGTGCCTGTTTAATGTTTGTAATGTGGAACTTATGTGAATATGGACTTAATGTGGAGGAAGGATGGTTGGTTAGTTTGTTGCCACACATGCCATACTCCAGAAGAAAAATAATTTTTGTTGCTTTCAGTGAATCCTTTCGAAATGTTACTGGCCTTCCTTGTGAGATAGTTACAGTACTTCTGTGTGCTGTTTAGGGCTGGTGCAGACCTGGGCAACCCAAGACACACGACCGTTTGCAGGTGCACACAGCGGTTGCCGTGCGGCTTCATTGATTTTAATGGAGTTACATCCACGTGGCAATTGCTAAAAAAGGTACATGTACCTTTCTTTTGCGACACACGACGTGCAGCTTTTTTAGCCACAATCGTGTTCAATTGCATGGGTGGAATTGCTGCAGATTTTAGCTGTGTCATCTGCTCATTAGTTGCTTGATTATTCTTTTACAAAGTGTAATCAAGCAACCTATTAGCAGATTGCACAGCTAAAGTCTGCACCACAAAGTGGCCAGCAGGGAGGATCATGCACATCTAAAGGGATATTTTCTTTCATATAATGCTCAGGAAGAGAAGTACAGTGACTGATGCGAGCACTAAAGATCACGCCCACACATGAGAAAAAATGAGTGATGTCAGGAAAAGCTAATGAGAGGCAGGCCCACAATGATCAGGAGGAGAGGGGATTGATGATGATTGAAGTGATACAGGCAGAAATGAAGGCTGCTGCTGCCTCAAAGGTTTATAGAGTAAAGTTTGCAGGGTGCATTAGCAGAGTATAATCCGTTTCAAGACCGGAGAAGACTTGCTAGAAGGGGGGGGTCCGAAAGGGGTTCAGCTTCATATTTTCTAAAATTCCAAACTCTTTTGATTTTATTAGAATGACTCCCTAATACACATATACCATTGGCTGAGAAACTGATGCCTGGCATTTGGTCTCTTTTAACCATCTTGAACAGTCAAAATGTACAGATAAACACTGACTTTTTTTTCTAGAAGGCTGTGATCTGTTTAAATGTCCCCCAGGTGTTTAAAAAAAATGGTTCAGCCTATAAAACTCCTCTTCAGTTTGAAGCTTTCCTTAACAGTATCTTTTCAGCCACAGATTTTCTCATTCTTTTGGCTGGAATGATGCTCAGCATCACTCAACCCTAAAGACTAAGGAAAGGGCGTCATAGCCCTGCACTTGAGCATGGTGCCCTGCATGCATAGTATACTGATGCAGAGAGTGGCGCTGTTTTCACCACAGCAGCTCTTTACATCATCCACGACTGTCCACTGCCGGAAGAAGACCAGAGGTAGAGGACCAAATCTGACTAGCCAAAAGACATCTGAAAAAGTAAGTCAAAGTAACCAACCAAAAACCCCTGGGGATGTGAGCCCAGAGTCTGGCTTTAAGGTTGAAGTGTAGGCAAACAGTTAAAATAATAGCTGAAATTTATAAATGTAAATGGTCTTACATGCAAAAAATGTGTAACCCAGACATCCTTGTTAGACAGCACAGCCAGATTCTGACCATACTCTGTACTGGAATTAAAGCAATGCAGCTTGGTCAAGAACAACAAGAAGTGAAACACCTTATCAGCCAGCTTCCTGTGTAGTGAACACTGACTGGCTTAAGCTGGCCAAATAATATTAGGATTACATTTGAAAACGAGAACATTCTTGTATAAGAACATTCAATTGATTTTCTTATAGTTAAAGGAGAACTATGGGGTAAGTTCCCCTCCTCCTCCCCCCCCCCATAGTTCTCTTTAAGGTCACGGGAGGACATATACTAGCGTCCTCCCGTGACCCAAAGCTCCGTATATCGCGGGCAATGGCCGCAGCTGGGACGGATCCCGACAATACTGTTGAGATCCACTCAGCTGCGTGAGTGACAGCTGGCTCTGCCTATCTAGAGGCAGAGCCAGCTGTGCCCGACCTCTCCCCCATTCGTTCCTCCACTCAGCGCTGGAGGATCGGGGAGGGGGGAATCCCTGTGGGGAGCGATGACTGGCAGTCACCACTCACTGCAGGGAGGGGATCTGGAAGTGGGCAGATCGGTGCATGTTTTTGCTCACTTCCCGATCAATAGAGCCGACCTATGACAGCTTCTTTGTCACAGGTCGGCTCTAACTATGAGGATGAGTGGAAATCACTCACCTCATAGTTCTCCTTTAATAGAGTCAATTGGTGAATTTTTTTCTTTAACAAATAAAATTCTAACAGTGAATGTGGTTTTCATTCAGGAAACTCCATTCATTACAAAATGTATTGTTAGTATCAAACAAAATTTGATGGTAATAATGTATGTTCTGTCAAAATTTTTCGTAGAAACATTCATACGAAAATCTACCAGTGCCGGTTAATCTCCCAATCCTGCTGGGAGTCACAAGAGGGGACTATGGACAGACCACTGTACCTATTTAAAAAGATATGTAAGGATTTCCTTAAATAAAATACATAACTGGGTGATGGTGTCTCAGTCGCTACTAACAATCAATTTTCCTAGTAATTTAGGTGGTGACTCTTGTCTTCACTCCCTTGAATACCTACAGCGTCCAAATAATCTAAACTGCTTGCTGTGGTTCTACCTGCCATCTGCTATATCACCGCTCTGTCCTGGAGTGATGTAGCGACCAAATGAAGATTTTTTTGGGGGATGCCATAGCTTTAGGAGAGCAAATCACCACCTACTGGACTGGTAAGTATTCTTGATTTTCTTTTGCAGTGTGGCTTGTTTCAAAAATTATTTTGATGGCAACAAAGTCACTTAAAATAGTTTTTTTCTTACATCTGCCTATACATCTGTCTTTCCTGTGTCATAATATGCTATACAATCCTTTATAAAAAATATGTTTTTATTGGTAAATATGGGTTTAGACATAAGTGACAAACATCTGAATGACACGTTATATCTTCGCTGTGCGATACAATTGGCCACACTTATAATTAAACAAGTATATTTATGCAGCAGCTTAAAACTAGTTTCATTCTATTTGATTTGAAAATAGAGGGGGACTTCCCCCACACACACACATTCTCTGCTACCCACCCTGTGAATGACCGCAAAATACACTTCCTGAAGTCCTGTGTCATTTAGGAATGCTCACACAGTGAAACAGAACTGTGACCAAATATGTACAAAAAGTTCAAAAAATTGACTAAAATATCTAATATTGAAAACAAAAATATATAGAATTTCATAGATACACACAACAAATATTTGCACATGTAGAACCTCCATGGAGGCTAAGGCGTTTTCTGAACAGTCTTTGTAAAGTGTAGATTTTACTTTTATATAGTTCCTTCAGTCAATCAAAAAGCTGTGAATGTATATCTGTCGTTCAATCCACTCCACAAAGTGTGACACATTACTGTAGACTCCAGGTCCGAGAACTTTGGAAAAACACACTGAGCCCCAAGAAGTGAGACCAAATAATGTCCACTGTCCTGGTGTTTGTTCACAGACCAGAGGACCTCCGCTGTCTCCCTGTCAGAAAATAAGGACATGATGAAGGCACAGTTAGGACATATATTCTATAACATAGTGCAAACCGCAAAGCTAAAGAACAATGTGTTATAACTAGTGGCAACTGGGTAGTCTGTAGTTTACAATCTGGTTAAAGATGACGGCTTCCTCAGATGGCACTGCATTTTAATCAAGTTCACAGAGAGGATACCGCCTGGGGCATCTGTTTTTGGCGCGCAGAGGAGGCGGGTTTCATTTGATGTGACCCTGTACTTCACCCATACAGGGATGGCAGGGGTGCGTGTAGAAGGTATTAGATAATCAAACTCTAAAAATTTACTTACCATACAGGAGTCTACTGTACCAGACTCATAACCAGCACACAGCATTCTGGATGTTATTGTGTCAAAATAAGTTCGGCAGTGTTCTAAAGATATAATACGAACTTCTCCTTCCTGCAGCTTAAATGGCACTAGTGGAAAACAAAAACATTACATAAAATGGTAAGATCATGTTTCATTGTAAGCATCAATGGGTTGTTAATATTGTTTACACCATATTCTGCACATGACAGGTAAAAGATAATCTAAAACTTGTAGTCTCCAAGGGAAAATAGGAAATGCATGTAACAGGGTTACAACACAGGGTCACAAATGAATGTAGGGAACACAGCATTGTCACCCTATAACTGGAACGTGCATGGCAGAATCGCCAGGTAATATTTTAATGAAAGATGCATATTTAAAAATATGGAAAATTAATTTTGGAAAGACTTATTTGAGATTTTTTGGGTTTACATATAGTTTAACTCCTATTTAAACAAGTCCAAGTAAACCCTATCATGATATTCTCTTATAAGCTTTAACATGCTTAATATAATTTCAAAAGTCATTTTCAGTCTTTTTAAATATGCAGCTCTCAATAAAATAATACCTGTACAGTGAGTTACTATAGACTTGAATTGGACTGTGCTCCAAAACTAGAGATCCATGGAGTTCAGTCCTATTCAAGTCTATGGAGAGTTACTGTGTAGCATCGTCCAGCGCCGGAGAAGATTTTGAACTTGAAGATAATAGTAGAGTATTGTACTGTGTTACCTATTAATTCATGCAAAAAAGTTTGGACTTTAAGTGATGCTCTTTAATGGCTAAATTAAGATATTAAAGATGCAAGCTGCCAGGATGACTTGGATCCCTTTTATACAGTTCTGAAAATGGTTCTGGAACCCGCACAATTTATACACAGTGTCACAAGAAGCGTGAATGAACTTAAAATATTTAATAAAATACAACTATTTTTTCTGGACATGCTTGAATATTAACGGCTATTGTAAAGGGTTAGTCTATAGAGACCAGAGTTTAGAACTGTTGTTGGGGGTAATTGACTCAGAGAAGAAGTCCAGGCACAATCCTCACCTTAAATGAGGGGCCTTTTAAAAAATATCCATATACCAGAAAAGCAATGAAATGAGGACATAAACCTCACAGGAGGTTGCCGCTGTCGTTCAGTTTTTAACCAACAGCGGAAAGGGATGAAATTAAAAAAAAATGGGCATTGTATAACATTCATTCCTGTTCTAATATAGTCTAAAAATGGATAGGAAACTTCAGTGCAGTTGTACACTTGTTGAAAGCTACATTAGTAGAGAGAACGGAATATTTATCTTGCCCAGCATTTGATTCTAATTTCCTAGTATGTCTGTTAGTAATTGTCTTGTATGTATACATTAAGTTCTTCATATATACAGTAAAGTCCACATTATCCTAAGGACTTCAGTCAAATCATCCTTTGCATTAACCTGACATGGTAATTTATCAGTATGCTCTATGCGTACTTTTCTTTGTGATGTTTTTACATGTCATTAATAAAGACACCTATTTTTGCACAAAATTGTTCATTTTGCAATGTAATTACTTTCTTATGGAGAACTGGAAACAGAAAACACATTGACACGGACACAAGGGACCCCCCACTGTCTACTTGGCTCTTATTCCTCCAGCATTGAGCATGACCCACATTTTGGTAAAGCAAACTTCCATGCGGAAGTAAAACATATACAAATGGGAACTTTTCACCTTATAACAAGGTCCTTTATGGCAAAATCCCAAGGTATTACTTTAATGAAGGCTGCAGACTTAAAATATTTAAAAAGACTTTTTGAAATTATATTAGCATGATAAAGCTTGAACTAGAGATTTCATGATTGGGTTTACATATACTTTAGACCAGCATTTCTCAACATTTTTTCAATCGTAGCACCCTGCATGCAAAATCTCAAGGCACCCCAGTCCAAAATGAAAATAGTGTCAATGTAAAAAAACAATGTGTGGGCCCTCCATAATCTATACCAAACCCTTATGTGAGCTAGGGGTCTGGTATAGATTTTAAGAAGGGCCCCTCGTAAAAAACACAAACAAATTGGGGTTCCCCTCTCACATTAGGAGCCCCCCCTTCACATTACAATGCCCTTTTTCACATTGGAAGCCCGTTTTCACATCGGGAACCCTAATCCCATCAGAAGTTCCCCCTTCACATCAGGATCCCACTTTACTATCAGAAGCCCCTTTCACATATGAGTCCTACCACAACATCAGGAGCTGCGGCTGTGGCAGCATGGCAGAGGGTGGGAGTTGGAGCAGGCCTTGAAGGAGGTGAACTTACATCTTTTTCTGAATGGATTCCACCTTCTTCCCTGGATTAGTGCAATTAATTTCTATGGCACTGCACAATGGAATGGCATGATGCTGTTTGAAAATTTCAAGGCAACCCTGAAGAAACCAAAAGGCACCCCAGGGTGCCACCGCACCCTGGCTAAGAAATGCTGCTTTAGACAGCCAATTCTGTAAAGCTGAACTCCAGGCAGAACCAATATTGTCTAAATACAAAAGCCATGAGTATTCTTACTTGAATCTTGGTGGCCTTTGTGTATTTCTTTCAGATCTCTGCAATAATCCAATCCTTCCCGTAACAAAGACAAGTCACTGCTGCTCTCTGTCCTTGTGCAGAGTAACTGGTCATGTATCTGCCCCCCTTCTGTAGTTTTCTGCAGGCAACCTGAATTGGGTGGGCCCTGTTGGGTCCCCTGCTCTTGTGCCTGGAGTTCAGGTTTAAAAGCTAGTTAATTGGTTAATGTTTACAGATGGAGGTGTAAAATGTCGACATTACTGTAAGTAATGAGAGGTTCAGGTATATTATGTCCTAGGCCGCTAACTAGCTATTTCAAGGTAGCTTGCCTTATTTGTGTAGATCATAAATATCTGTTAATAATTCTTTTAACTCCACATACATCTGTTTATGATAATCAGAGGAGTGGTGAGAGATCAAAGAAAATGCTTTGATTTATTTATTTCTAAGATTTAATTGCATATTCTCTTTTTACAAATGTTTTTATAAATATACCATATAAGACTTGCTTATTAACTACCATCATGATCAATGAAAACTGACAAAGATACTTATCTTTTCTCTTAATCTGTAACTGTAATTTTTCTGTGAAGACAGACAAGGAAGAGGTAGAGCCCAGAATGTTAAAAAGACACAAGCAACAATTGCTGACTTTTATAAGCACAATTTCATTTTTTTTAATCCCGTCCTATATGGAACATACAGTATATGCAGCCAGCAAAGCCAAAACTCATATCCAGTATACTTGTTCAAGGACAATTCCAGGTCATGGCATCCCTTTTCTAACCTATGAAACACTCAAATCTAAGCCGTTTTCTAGTTCCACCCCGTGCCTCTGCTTCCTCTACTAGTGGTGAGATCCATAGAAATATATAAAAAGCATCAAAGTCAGCTAGATATGGAGCCCAAAGCTTACTCCATGCATGACTCTGTTAACACGGCTTTTTGTTTCCAGTAATACAACACAAAGCCGTACATTTCATGTTATCACTGTATGTATATTTTTACCAGTACTTACTTTTGTTGCCCATATGACCCCAGCCTGTAATATAACAGTATGTGTCTGGTTCCACCAGCTGGCCCTTGGAAGGTAAGCACACAGGCCTTACATAGCTAGTCTCCACAATCTCTTCATTTAATTGTATTATGCTGATGTCATAGTCTACCACAGCTCTGTTGTAACGCGGATGAAGGATTATTGTCTTGACTAGACGTGTCTGCATGAAATCAGATGGATGATCCAAGTTGTTTATACCGAATACAACTTTCCACACAGCAGCATGTTCCCGCCTGTGGAAAGATTACATGTCACATTCTTCTGAACATTATTCATTATGTAAACTCTACCACAGGGTACTTGATCAAGAGGTCTACATGTACAAATTATACTTACGCCAAAACTCTGCTCTGCTTCCATGTTTTGTTTGGTTCTACGCTGATTTCAATGGGAAATCTGCTTTGTAATACATGTACTAAATAGAGGTTTCTATTGACTAAATATACATCTAAATCCTAACTGGATGACAGATATCTAAAGCACTGTATATCATAAACAGCTGCCATGTTTTTTTTCTTTTAGAAAGTACTGTTGTCACAATTTCCTAATTCTACTTTGGACCTCAGTACAGCTGACTTTATAGTCACTTTGTGTCTACATGCACTGGCTCCAGTGGTGGCTCTATGTCTTTGGTCAAGACTAGCTACTTAATGGTGACAACAGTGGAACATGCCTGCCAATGTCAAAAGCAAAAC